CGACCTCCACTATGATAGCCCAACCAGCTCTCCCTGTTTTACTTCTACACAAGCTGACGCATCGATCAATGTGCTTAGAAATGTTGTTAACGATTTAGAGTACTTGGTACCCTGCTACGGGAGAGCAAAGAGCCGTCCCGTGGGCCTTATTTTCATGAGGCCGTATAATGGGTGTAAAAAAAACTGTTCAACGAGAATACAGGTACTCTAGGTAAACACAAATGCAAGGAAGCACTCCAAAAATTTATCGCAAGAAGCCTCCGCGCATGCTCTGGTTGTACTGATGATTTTATCAGCGCATCTTTGTTAAGATGAAAGCGTGATAAAGATTGAGAGTGTCTTTTTTTCAGGCATGCGTCATTTCCTTTAGACAAACGCTTCTCTCTTTAACGTATTACGTCTAATCTTTTTATAGTGATTACTAAAATTTTAGAAAGCTGTAAACTCTAGATAAACTGAGTTTTTTTTTCTTGTGCAGCATACATGGTAACTAGGCTAAGGTAGCTAAGGCACTTCGAGTAATATACTTGGGGTAGTACCTGGATTTGCCTAGTCTTTGTACTTGCGATATTCAAACGCCCTTGTTGTTTTGTTTATTACTGTGTTTTGGTTTCGTGTCGAAAAAATTATAGTGGAACTTCCTGACTCGATTACAATTGGTGAGCCTAAAAGGTCAAGGTGGTGAAGAGTAATCGCTGATTGTCCTCTTCGTCACAAAGCAGCTCCGAACCACACAAAGCCAAACGGAACCGAAATAACGAAGATTAGACACACTTATGCTCTATACCAATTATTGTCATGCTCACTGAAGCGCCGTGCGTTGCAGCGCCTACAGGCACTAGCACCAGAGTTCTCTCTAGTGTACATATAGAAAAGTATGCCTATAGCTCTATCGGCAAAATGATTGATTGATTGATTTGTGGGGTTTAACGTCCCAAAACCACCATATGATTATGAGAGACGCCGTAGTGGAGGGCTCCGGAAAGTTTGACCACCTGGGGTTCTTTAACGTGCGCCCAAATCTGAGCACACGGGCCTACAATCGGCAAAATGGGAGCAAGTGATTTTTTGCTTGCGCGTACCAGACCTGTTGCTTTCAATATCGGGGTTGATTAAGTTGAAAGCAAGGCTGATGTCAGAAAATTTGGTGGGTATGGGTCACAGAACTAGCGGGTGTGTGCCAAGCATAGTTGGACGTAACGCGTCACAAGTAATCGATCGCTTCTAATCAATTACATTTCCTTGTAATCTTGTTATACAAGTATAATGGATTGCTTCTTGGGGACAGCAACAGGAAGGGTGAATGAATTACATGTTCTCGTAACTGATTACCGGTAATCAATTATATTTAAGAAACCAAGTTGTAAACAGTGTTTTACGACAGTTTTCGTCCCAAAAAAAATGCGACCGCTCAGTAATGAATCCTCCCCCATCCCACCTCACCCCGTCTTGTCAGGTGGAGAGTGTTAACAGTGCCTTGGTCCTATCTGCAAACCAGCAGCCTTGGCCTTAGCTGAACGCAATTTCACAAGTTCTTACTTGCGGTGGTGCCATGCGTTGTATTGTGTTGAGGCGCCTCGATCAGCACCAGCCAGCTGGGGGTGGCGAAGACGCCTGCGAATATCGGCTAGCACGACATGAATGCTTGGAAACGGAGTATTTTGTCTGTAAATATAACTAGAAACTACCTAATGCACCAAAACAAAATTGAAAGGTAACCACAAATTGGAATTGGAGTCAATTCGAAATTTAATCGCCAGATGTGGTTGTAAAGTAGTAACCAGTAGAGATACTGTATATGGTATACCTATACAGCATATACAGTAACTTTAGTAGCCAGTTTGGCGCAAAGTCGCTAGCAATAGCAACCCGGGGCATGGCTGCCACGCAGTGCGCCTGGGTTTGATTCCAGCTCTAAACTTCGTTTTTATTTTTGATTTTGCCCGACGTGATCCGAATTATCGTTCCGCATGCAACGTTCTGCAAAGATAGCGTCTGTCAAAAATGTTTAAGGCCTTGGCTTTAATGTGACCTGTTTTCCACTGCGCCGCTACCCGATTCCCAGAAACAATTTTTCGCTTTGCTAATAAAGAATAATTTATTATTATCTACACAGTAAGAAAACCGATTTACATTTGAGCCCAGAAATGCTTAGTATGCGTGCATATATGAACTAAAGACTGATTTCCTCAATTTCTCTGTTAGGCACAACCAGACGGGCGCATCGTGTCAAGAAAGAGGTGGGAGGAGGGATCAATTGTTGGCTTTCACAGCAATGTAGTATTTATGACGTAAACTAAAATGAATTAAAGTGAAGCAAAAAATCACCCCTCTCGTTGGAGGGATGTGAACTCCCATCCTGCGAGCATTCGACGTTTGTGGGTTCTCATTCCACAAGCGGAAATGAAGATTCATTAAGTTGGGTTAGGTATGTGTGTAGTGGGATAATCAAGGTGTACAGTGGAGGTGCCTCAGACAGGGTGACCGACGTTTCGATAGGAGGACCTATCTTTGGACGATATGAGGACTTATCTTTGGGCCTATCTTGACAAAGATGGGTCCTCCTATCGAAACGTCGGTCAGCCTCTCTGAGGCACTTCCACTGTCCACCCTGGTTATCCCACTGCGTGTTTCCATCTGTCGACTCCAATCTAGATCACACACGCTCAACAATGACTTCAAACGCCTCCGCTAGTCTCAATTGTCGCCTTTGGGCCAAACATACTTTATTCTAAAAAGCGAAGTGTCTACTACAGGTACAAACGACAATAAACCAGCATCAATTTTGCATGGCTGACATATACCCTAAGTAAATGGCCAAGAAGCGATTAAATAATTAGTAGCGATCACATTTTAATAGTATATCAAATGCATTAGAAACTTGTTAGAAGAAATACCAGCATATATTTTTCCTCTCGGCGCACAAGGCGCCGAATGAGTGTCCTTGCAGGGCCCCTAAAGCATCTCCAAAAAGGCCGAAAACAAGCACATTATTCTCTCCCGTCGTTTGCCGTCTTAGCGGCACAGTCGTGACGCCAGCAGTTTGTTCGTGTGACGTCAGGATGAGATAAGCTCTCGATTTGGCGGTACGTGAGAGGTATCTGTCGTGAATTGTCTCGTATACCCTGCTTTGACGTGCAGTCACGTGCCGATCCTATGTGCCTCGCATGAGCATAGTGCGTAATAAAAATAATGATTCATGATGATGACGGCTCATATGTAGATTGGCGAAGTAGCGAATAACTGTTCAGAAGAGATTACATAATTGTCTATCTAACGCGTTACAAACTCGTTAGAAGAAATACATTTTGCTTGGTAGACGAAGAAAGTGCTTGACAGCGCAAACGACAGGCAAACTCAGCGTTCTGTTCTCGTCTCCTGTCCCCTCCTGTCGTTTGCACTGTCAAGAACTTTCTTCGTCTACCACGAAGCACCATCCAACCCAGTCAAGCACCTTGTTAAAATACATTTCCCTAATGAGTATTTACAGTGATCTCACTCCGTTTTCTGCATTTGTGGGTGAACAAACATGAATAGCAGCGAGAAGTCAAAAAGCACGAAATCCTCACTGGCTCAACGCTTAGTGTGGACAATCAACGGTTTTTTACGAAGAAATGAGTGTCGAAGAGGCGATAGAGATTGTAGGAAGGGTGACAAAGGCGAGAAAGAAAAACTACTTTCTCGCCTTTGAACTTGGTGTGGTTTAAAGGGCCCCTCACCAGCCTCTCAAGATACAAAAAAAAAAGAAGCGCATTATTCTCTCCTAGTGTTTCTTGTCTTTCTTGCACACTTCATGACGCTGGCAGTGATTCCCGTGACGTGTTAGGAACTATGCAGTGACGTCACTGCAGCTGCCATTTTGTAGTACAGAAAGCGCAGGGAAATGCGCAATTTTTTATTTCAATCTGCTTATCTTCAGAACAGCTCGAAGCTATACGAATTGTACATCAAAATGGCGCATGATGACGACACGTGAATACCCCCCCCCCCTAAAATGTACACGCTCTCGACTGGTCCATATACACAAAGTATCGGACGTGATGCTCTTGCCACACTGCTTTGCCATGCAGTTGCTAAAGCGTTCTTTGTTGTCTCTCGACTATCATGCGCGATCAAAAGATTTCATTTAGTTTTGTGCGTTTACGACTGCGCAGACGGGAATAACAGCCCGTAGCCGAGAACCGCGAAATCGTGATAGCTTCAAGTGCTTAGCGCTGACATTCTTCCATTGCTTTGATTGATGATTGATTGATTTATATGTGGGGTTTAACGTCCCAAAACCACCATATGATTATGAAAGATGCCGTAGTGGAGGGCTCCGGAAATTTCGACCACTTGGGGTTCTTTAACGTGCACCCAAATCTGAGCACACGGGCCTACAACATTTCCGCCTCCATCGGAAAAGCAGCCGCCGCTGCCGGGATTCGAACCCGCGACCTGCGGGTCAGCAGCCGAGTACTTTAGCCACTAGACCACTGCGGCGGGGCTTCGCTTGCTTTGGGGAAATAAATGGCGCGGAGGATACATCGTCTGTGCGAAGGGTATTGAAAGGCGAAGAGCAAGTCACTCCCTCGTCTTTGAACGATGCGTAGTGGAGGAGACATCGCCTGTGCGAAGGGTATACTGAAAGGCGAGGAGCAAGTCACTCCCTCGTCTTTGAACGCTGTGTAGCGGAGGATACATCGCCTGGGCGAAGGGTAGCGGAAGGCGAGGAGCAAGCCTTACTCCCTCGTCTTGAAACGCGGCTTGGTGAGGGGGCCCTATGGGGGCCCTTCTAGTGTTCGTCAGTGGGACCGTGAGCACGTTGCGGTGAATCTGGACTCAGTTCTTACGGCCAGCCAAGATTCAATCTACTCGGCTGAACGAAGCAAACAGAGTGCGATGGCTTCTTTGACTATCGCGGACGCTTCCGTTAGTGAAACTCGATCCTGCCTGCCTCCTTTAGATTCGCGTCCCGTGTCACTTACGGGAGGAGCGACGTACGCAGTCTCTCGATCGGCGAAACCTGGGCAGTTCTTCTTGCGGAGAAAAATACTTCTGGCGTCAACTTTAGAGGAGCAAGGCCGCTTGTTCTTCGCTGGAAGGTAAGTCTCACTTTCACATTATAGTAAGGCATTACCACGCGTTCCATTGAGCCGCAAACAAAACCTAAAATGTTCTGTAAAACCCAACGAATGCTTCAAATAAAGTCCGAAACGTTTGTACGTTGCTTTTGTAAATTACACCGAGTCTGGTCGCTTTGTTTTCTCTCTGCCTTCTGGTAATGAGCATAAGACTTTCCAAATTTTTGTGGCGTTGAAACAAACCGTGTCCCCAGACTTCGTTACGGATTTTTCTTTTTTTTCTTTTTAGGAGCGAAGCTTCTCACTCTCTCACGATGTCCGTTCACGCTATTGTCGTAGCTTCACGTCGGACCGAAACACAGGTGCTACAGATACCGTACATAGAGCGTTCATAGCACGGATATATATTTAAAACAGACCGTACTCTGCCCGTTCACTTGTCCGTGCTTCATACTAGTCGGCGACCTAAACGTAGTCATTGTGGACTTTGGGTCCTAGCATAACTTCGTCACCATTCACTTTGTGGATCTGCGGTAATTTTTTTTTTGTGAAGAACAGTTGTTTGAAGGCGTTTGCTTAAACATTGATGCCGCGTAAAACAGGAAGCTGTACCCCCCCCCCCCAACCCCCTCCCTCCCTCTCCCTGTGGGCACGCACATGGGTGCATGAGTCGAAATAATAGACTCTCTCGGATGGTGCTCAGCTGAATGAAACGCGGCATCAGGACTTCAAGGGTAACAGATGGGTTGTGCAAATGCTGTCGACAAACGCGTCGTTTCGCTGCGAATCTGGCCACCGAAGGTGTTGTAAGCTCTAATATAAGCGTGCGATTGAATGTAACGCCGATGTAGCAAAAACAAAGGACGTTGAAAACGAAAGTATGCGCATTAGTTGACCCTAAACTGTCGCGTTTTAATCGGTAAGCACTGTATATTTAACGTAAGCGTTAAATAGACGTAAAGTTTTTAAAAATTCCCGTAGCCCACCGTCATGGCTTGTTAAATACTCTGTGTTGATTTCGGGTCTGAATTGGCCCGAAGGGCCTAAGGCCACCATTTTAAGTTACTCCTCGGTCTCCTGCTTTGGTAAACGCCAAACAGCAAATAAAAATGAGTAAAATCTGTCGGTACGTTGGTCAAAATTACACGCCATTCTTTAGCCGTTTCTACATTTCGAGGTTGTCCGAGTCGAACGTAATATCAACTTGCTTCATCGTGTTTTGTAGCATCACCAGGATTTGGGGACATTTGCACGTAGCGCCGTCTTTTGTCGGTGACAGCGGCGGCCCGCCGTAACTGATTGGGTAGTCGGCGAAAAAAAAATCAAGTCTGATGAAAAAAACAACAAACTATGCTATCAGAAACGATTCACTGTTATATACAGCAGAGACTCAATTACATGTTCCATTAAAATTACAATGTCGCACATCCACGCGGCTTACCAGTGCGTTTAATATTTCACAATGGTGCCCCATGTACTTTCAATGGAATGTGTTGAATGGTCCTTGAAAGCTACATGCCTATTATTACGATACTGAAATTTCACGAAGACGTTACAGTAGGTCTCTGCTGTATGGATCCTGGAGTCGTTTTTGATATCGAGCTCATTTCACTTTTTTTTGCTTATCTTCCGTTCAGTTATGGCAGGACGTCATTTCTTCCGCCGAGAGATGGCGCCACGTACGTATGTCCCCCAAACCCTGGGGACGAAAATCTTGTAACCGATTTCTTTTGAATTCAGGTTGCCTACACAGATGTTTGAACTGTGTTTGTTACACCCTCCAGCTTTGATACGCTTCACTTTTCACCCCCTTTGAGAATCAGCTTCAAAATTAGTCAAAAAACACTTAGTAAATAAATCAATTCAACGCTAAATTCTTCCATCTCTTTCCAGATTTTTCACGCCACAGCCATGATTGCGAAAGCGCTTCTAGCTCTCCTGTCTTTGTCTTTGACGTTGACCGCTGGTACTGACCCGAGTCAATGGGAGGTGACCTCCGTTCCGGGCCTCGACCAACCGGTCAACTTCAAGCATTACTCGGGATTCGTGGACGCCGGCGAAGGGCGACGCCTTCACTACTGGTACACATCGCTCTTTGGCCACCACACTTGTACACGCGTCACTCCTATTTGGTGACTTCTGTTAGACAAGTCAATGTTAGATAGACAGTACTGGTGCATATATCTATTACTTGATAATTACCGCTATGCGAACCATTGTTATGCGTTAATCGATTCTCATTGCACGTGACTTACATGTCGTCACTGTTCTTATGGTTGCCACTATTGGTCGGTAAATTTCAAGTAGACAGGCCGCTTTAAATTCGTCACTGATGGTACATGTCACCCTTATTTTTGCACTGTCGGTATGCGCCCAGGAACAGTTATGCCTTCAGAAAACTTGCGAGAAAACGCTTACTGTTCTTACTTTTCTTCTATAGTTCATTAAAAAAATCTGAAAGAAGTTTTGTTTGAGACCTAACTTAATTAGTATTTTTGGGAAATAATGAATTACTGTTTTATATGTAGGTCACTTAGAATCTTCATAACATGTCAAATCTCCAGTAGCTGCTTATTGTGACACCTATACGAGCTTATAGTAGCGTTAGTGAGGACATATTCAATGTATAAAATATCATGCAGTGGGCATTACAGGGCTAATTAGGTGCTATTGATGCACGCGTCACTTTTATTTGGTTGCTACCGACGCTCATCATTCTTATCTCACTCTTGCCTTAGTGACACTCACTTTCTTAATTTTTTTAATATTCATGCTACTCATAGTTTGGTACTACGGCTTAGTGCCCACGTCACTCATATTTGCTGTGTGGCGGCACACGTCAGTCCTGCTCAGCGTTCATGTTAGATCTTTTCATACTTAGGCATCTGTTAACTGCACTGAAATGAAAGAAAAGTTAGTGACGTTTTCTTTCAGTATTGTTTTGTCCTTCGCGTGTACGTCACTTCAACGCCAAGCCTGTGTGGCGGAGGAGCCGCTACAACACCAGAGTAGTGTAGTGGCGAACGTGTACTGATATACGCTCTGCTTCACGTACAATTAATCAAAGCAATGAAACCAGAAACCACTTCCTCTCTTTCGCGACTTTTGGAGACGGGCGGTGTTCTTTCTCATCCAATGAAAATATGTCGTTTGGATGTGTGATTTACTTATCACGAGATGTGTCTTCTTCGTGTTGATTTAATGACGAGTAAAATGGTTTGTCAACACCACGATCTCTTAAAATATTCGCCGATACCCTCACGACTTCTCTTTTCTTTATTTTGAGTGTATGGCGGCTTTCAAGTGGTTGCGTGTTGGCGTTGCTGCTTTGAAAGTGACTAGTAACCAACTCGCCTCCCCAAAAATAAGTATTTTCCAAGAAAGCATCCGTACATTGAGGTTCATTGTAATGGGGATCAATCCGAAGCAGTATCCAGATAGTTTCAGGTTCATTGTAATGGAGATCAATCCGAAGCTGTATCCAGATAGATTCCTGTAAAAGAGGAGAGGGGCCGCAACCACGGGGAGGGTTGTAACGACCCGCCCTTTCTCATCCACCTCGGTTACACTAATGGAACAATCCTTGATCTGAAGGGGTGGGGGCAGGGAGGCAAGTATAGTCGAGTGTCCTTTCGTGCTCTGTATCCTATAGGAGCAAAACATGTCTGGTGGAGCGGGGCTGGAAAGTACGTACATGTTGACTCCTCCCCGCCCCAGCTACGCTACTGCAATGGATCAATCAATTGAATTGTTTAACACCTCGCGCTTCGGGTGCTCAACTTATGACGTAAGGTTTCTCTAAATTACCGCGATGTCTTCTGTTCACGGCGCTGGCGTTGTGCTGCTGTGGCAGGATGGAACACGCGTACTTGTCGAACAGTGAAAGTATGCAGATGCTGGTTCATTGAACATTTAATTACAATACGGCTACGAAACGGGGATGCCAATTACACTTACTTATGGGTGCAATGCTCGCTCTTGTCCAAGATCAGAGGCGCTTTTTTTTCGAAATGGGCCAAATGAAAAACAGAAGCTAGCTCAAATAAGGCTTTATTGGCACATATATACCCTTATGTTTCCTCTAAAACAGTGATTATAAATGAATAATAATATTTAGTATTTTATTAAATTTTTAGAGAAAAGTTCAGATTATGTATGTGCCACAACAGCGTTACTTGAGATAGTTTCGGTTTTGGATTTGGCTCATGGAAAAAAAAAACAAAGTTGTTGAAGGCTTCCTGAAGCGGTGCGTTTTGCTTTGTTTGTAGTACTTACACGGGAAAACATGTAAGAACGCAGCACATTGGCTGAGGACTGCCCACAGCCGACATAAAAGAGAACACTGGTACGTGACGTTTGAAGATGATGCGACACGCACGGCGCCAACAACAAGTCCGGCTGTTTCCATATCTTCGATAATTGCGTCCATATGATATTCCTCACTATGGGTCTCACTTGGCAAAAATAAATATCAACAGCCTAGTTCTAAGGGAATTTTTCGGGCAAGTTTGTTTTTAAGATAACTTTAGCAAAAATAAAAATATTCTGGCTGCCATATCCGACTTAACAGAGCTTTGGAAAGGAAAAAAAGTTTTTTTTTTTTTTGGTTGCAATCCTACCATGCCAACTAGACCATGCACAAGCATGAACAAATCTAAGTAAGTAATGCGCTTAAAAAATGGCAATTTCTTTCTAATTTCGGCACTGTATGGTCATTTCTTTGAGCACACAGTAAACATGGAGTTTTTTTTTTTCTGAATTTTCACAAAGGTTCATGGAAAGCCAACGGTCGCCATCCGAGGACCCCGTGCTGCTGTGGCTGAACGGTGGCCCGTGCTGCAGCTCGCTTGTGGGGGCCATCGCTGAACTGGGCCCCTTCAGGGTTGGCTACCAGGGCATCAACATGACCACAAACCCTTCCAGCTGGAACAAGGTGCCACTAAGTGCTCTCGCATTACTTTCCATCTCCAATACATGTATATTCTCGATCGCTAGTGTCATTAAACCAGCCTTCATATAGACGATATGTTGCGTCTTATGACAGCGACCGGTCCGGGGTTCAACATAATGTTTCGTGCACTGTTTAACGAAGGGGCGATTTTGTTTACAGCATAACGATGTACAGGAAAGAATTGATCATTCTAAACTGGGAAAGTATACATTTGATATGGCTGATGCCTATTAAGGGTGCAAGATTCAATGAACGGTGGGATGTACCCACTCCTTGGACATATGGTTGTACGCAGTCTTTGAGTTTCACGATGGCTGAACAATTCAATCAACCTTTAAACTATGGCCTCCATCCATCGACGCGCGCATGGGGGAGGAAGAGTCGCTTCTAGTCATCTAGGAGAGGAGGGGCAAAGCCAGCCCTGTACATTGGTATAATAGAGAGGGGCGCTGCCACTCGAAGAGGGGGGGGGGGGGCTCGAATTCATCCTATACATTAACAGAATAAGAGTAGGGATGGTGACGCTATGCGAACCTTTGCCTCCCCCCCCCCCCTGAATGGGAATCCTGGGAATATCTATGCCACCACCTTCTTGTTGCGTCTAATAGTACATATTAGGCAATACTACACGGGCAAGATCACCTTAGAACGACATAACCCACACAAATGCATTTTCTCACTATTTTCGTTTGTTTGCGATATGTTAATTGATGCGTTCCTTTTTTTTTAATGCACAGATATATTGCTCGTAACGATTCAGTTTCATTTGTGCGTCAAGCGTGTACTAATGAATCGTCATTTTTATTCTCTAAAGTTTAGCTACTGCTTCTGGTGCATAATTGTCAACTTTGATTAACTGTAGTGTTTTTTGTGTTTCAATGCATTTATTTTCTGTGAATAACCACTAAATTGCCGTGTAACTGGGGAAACCTTGTCAAGCCGCCATGGTGCGGCCTTTATTCCCGTCACCTCCTTTTCTGACAAATAAAAAATAAAGATGGGTGAATAAATGAATGAATTGTACTGCTTTTGCTGACATTATTCCATTTTAAGGTCCTCACTATGGTAACCGTTAAAAAAGTCCATAAACTACTATTGATGTAAGTCGATATCCGAAAAGGAGGGCATGCACGTGCGCTTTCAAGCGAAAGTTACTCACTCTTAGTTCGCTTTTTCTCTCCTCCAGAGCAACGGACGCCGTGATAGATGCCGTAGTGGGCGGGTTTCGGATAATATCGACCGCCTGAAGTTTTTTGGCGCGCACTGAACTCGCACAGTACAAGGGTCTCAAGCATTTAACATCTTCGAAAATGCGACCGTTGTGGCCGAGATCGAAGCCGTGCACGTATTTAGGGTCAGCAGCCGAGTGCCGTAGCCAATGGTTCGCCGCAGCGGCTTCTTCACTTCCGGCTCGTGCCTCCTCCCGCCGTTACGCTTTCGATAATATACAGTTGGAGTAGCTGCATTGCGGCGAGAGTATTTCCGATACTATCCAGACAATTTCCAGAACTTGTTTAGCTGGGTTTTTGGGTATACACTCAAACCTCAATATAACGAGTTTTCGGATATAACGAATTATTTTTGTGGCAGATTCGACTTGGTCATAATGAGGTTCGAACGCACGTCTCAGACTCATTTTATGCCAACTCAATAATTCACCGGGCCGTCCCAGGTATGGCGTTTGAATGTTTCCCTTCGGCTGCCCCGCTGCGGTGGTCTAGTGGCTAAGGTACTCGGCTGCTGACCCGCAGGGCGCGGGTTCAAATCCCGGCTTCGGCGGCTGCATTTCCGATGGAGGCGGAAATGTTGTAGGCCCGTGTGCTCAGATTTGGGTGCACGTTAAAGAACCCCAGGTGGTCTAAATTTCCGGAGCCCTCCACTACGGCGTCTCTCATAATCAAATAGTGGTTTTGGGACGTTAAACCCCACATATCAATCATGTTTCCCTTCGGCGAACGGGATTTGTAGCAGATCTAGCGTCGCTGGTGAAACCTCTCTTCAAGGCCGTGAGCAGCATTAACGTAGACACTGCCAGCTATGGCAACAAGAAAGTTAAAGCCGCACGTTATAGCAAAATTAGCGCGCTCACTTTGTCAGTTGTCTACCACTTTTTTTATTACAACTAAATACATTTAGAATAGAGGTTTGTGCTTGGGAGTGGCTCTAATTACTCATCGTACATGTGAATTTGAATCACGAAGCTGGGAATGGTCGTTAATCAGTACAACGTTTACAAATGAATGTACATTCAAAAGTACATTCTCAGCAACGATGAGAACAGGTCATAAGAAATGTTTGCACATGATCAATGTTCGCACTTCTACAACAATGTTCCCGCGATTTAAATGTTTACACTTTCCATATTCCTCCCCTCGTGCAGCGCTTGACTGCAGACGATCTTGACAGATGATCCGTGCAGACGATTTTAAGTGGGACGACAAATTCCTCGTCCCGGTCAAGGTCGTTCCAGGCAAAGTTCATTGTTACGCCCTCTCAACCTTCAATGTATTAGGCCGACTTTGTGCCTCTTCTCCGCTTAAAGGGGCCCTGCAACACTTTCTGAGCATGGTCAGAAAAGGCTGCCGATCGGTAGTAGAGGCTCCCGACAACGCACCATCCAAAAGACGTCCCCTCCTGTCTCGCCCTCCCCACCCCGTGCGCACGCTTGTGACTGTGTTCGTTAACTACATCAACTGCATGGCACCAATGACATGCGAAAAAGATTGGTACCAATGACATGCGAAGCAAAAATATTTGTCATAATTTCGGTCTTTTAACCAGCTTATCTGTCTTCTTTCTCTTTCTCTAGATTAAATGTTTGCACACATGAAACGTTGACGTCGCTTGTTATTTTTTTTTAATTCTTAAATATTCGTTACAGGTGGCGAACATAATTTTTTTGGAATCTCCCGCGGGCGTCGGATTCTCCTACGAGCGTTCGGGAAATTACGCGAGCGACGACACTCAAACGACGGACCAGAACTACCTCGCCACGCTGAATTTCTTCGACGAGTATCCAATGTTCAAGAAAAACGATTTCTACATCGCCGGTGAAAGTTACGCCGGCGTCTACGTGCCTCTGCTCGCGCAGCGGTTTGTAAAGGACCCTCGAGGAATTAATCTCAAGGTGAACGAATATACTACTGTCAGTAGTAGTAGTAGTGCTGCTACTACTAGTGCTATCGAAATGACGAGCAAGTGCCCCCCCCCCCTTTTTTTTTCTTACGGCGAAGGATAATCCTACCAGATTTGGGGGGGATCGCACAGCAGCTCGGTCCCAGACCGGTAATTGGTGCTTATTTGGCATTTATTTCGGATCTCCCAAAACGGAAGGAGGGAGGTATTTGCTTCTGAAGGGCAAGGGGGGGGGGTGGTACTGTGGGGTCTTCGCTGTATGTAGCTCTTTTTGTAATTTGTGCAAGAAAAGTTGATAACGTTTCACAGGTAGCCCATTGTTATGTCTTTTTTTTAATATGCTAGTATTCCCTTGCTGCCCTGAAACTCTCTCTTTAGTAGTTTATCTTTTGTAAATTGCTACAAGAGAAACCCAGCGCGTGAACATTCATTCATTCTGCCTGTGATCGTTTAAAAACCAGAAAAGCTTCCGTTAGCACCTTCAGCTATATTTAGAGTGGCGGTTTGCCTTAATCGCCTGCTTGGTTCCTATATAGTGTTGTGTAGTGGATTAAGTCTCTGCATATGGCGTCCTGTTTTCGTCCACAAGGGATACGCCGTCGGGAACGGAGCACTGGACATGGAGCTTCTCGGCAAATCCATCATGTTTTTCGGCTACTACCATCGGTCTTTTTGGTCAGAGGTAATTAACCTTCTATAGAGCAAACAAGTATAGCCTACGCGGTGACCTGGCGGTTATGTTGTGCCACTGCTGACTCGAAGGTCGCTGATTGGAATCCCGCCCGCGGCGGCTGCATTATCGATGGACGGCCCAATTCCAGAGGTTCGTCAGCTTAGATTTGGGAGCACGTTAAAGAACCCCGGGTGGTCCGAATTTCCGGAGCCCTTCGCTACGGTGTCTCGTTTAATCGTAACGCGATTTTGGAATGTAAAACCACGATAATTATGCGACGAAACAAGTATACGCGGATTCAAGGTGCTGTGGGAACAAATCTTCGGAGAATGGTGCAACTCTCTAATACCGGTTATTCTATATTTTTTTTCTTTTTCTTGTGCGTCCGTCAGTGTATAGGTATAGGGTCAAGTTGGGGATGCTTTTTGCCGGGAAACACCTCTCTTCGCCGCCACAAAGTATCTACGACGGCGTCATGCGGATGGAACTAAAAATTGTGACAAATGTACGAAAATGGAATCGCGTTAACGTCTCGGGTACGTTGTACCATTGCCATAAGCGCAACACCAACGTCGGTCTTGACGTTGCGGCGAAGAAGGTGATAGCAACGGACTCGAGGGTAGATGGTCAAACGTTAAGCTTCGGTATAGAGACACGTAGAAAGAAAACGACCGACGGCTGACGTTGCATGCTAACTTCGCCTGCTGTGTAACCATAACACCACTACCATCATGAGGTTGATGGTAACAACAAAAACAACAACAACAACAACAACAACAACTACTACTACTACTACTACTACTACTACTACTACTACTACTACTACTACTACTACTACTACTACTACTACTACTACTACTACTACTACTACTACAACTACAACAACAATAACAACAACAACAACAACAACAACAACAACAACTACTACTACTACTACTACTACTACTACTACTACTACTACTACTACTACTACTGCGACTGCAGCACCATTTTTTTACTACTTCTGTTGCTGCTGCAGCTTTTGCAGCTACTACTTATATTTCTCTTTTACTGCTAGAACTACTGCTGCGCCACTACTTTTACGACTACCATGCCAATAACTTTCTCCCACAAGCCACTGGCTGTACTATACCAAACTTTCTCCATTTGCAGGCTGTGGAAGGAGCTGACAACCAACTGCTGCAATGGGAGCATCTCTCAGGAGACTTGCGATTTCGGGTGGTCCACCAAGAACCCCGCCTGCATTGATCCGGTATAATTTGGGTGTTTCCTTCTTTTCTCATTTTATAAACACGATATAAAGCAAGTTCTTTGTGGCGCTTTTAGTAGTGCCTCCACCTAAGGTAAAAAAAGAGAGAATGTGATTAGCAAGAAAGGGCGATATGAGGAGCGAGACCAAAAAAAAACAAAAACGCACATTTTCAAGAAGGAGGAGAAATGAGAGGGATAAATTGACGTTTATTTCGAACCAGTTTTCCGAGCGATGCCCGGTATCACCCTAAAGCGGTATTCACACGATGTACCAAATCGCGATTTGAGCCTGCGGATTGCGTACTACGTCACTACACGTCAGCCGTTCCCGCTTCGGTCCGTGCGGACCGATTCGGGAAACGACGGAAGCCCAAATCGCTATTGATATCAACGGGAACCAATGCCGAAATCCTCGCGTGTAGCATGAATTCTTCCCTGTCGTGTGAATGTTAGCTGCGAAGGAATCCGAATAACTTCGCATGTCACGTGACTGATCCGTCCGCAATCAGGTCGGTCATGTGAATACATAAGCTTAAGTGTGAAAGCTCCCTAGTGCAGGAACCCTTCGTTTTCCATTGCCCTCTTTGGCGCTGGCTACGAGTTGTCGTGGATATTGTAATCGAAGACGAACTTGACTTCCCACGTTCGGATCAAGGAATGGTCGTTCGCTTTTGGTGCTTGCCTCACGTCCCTCGGATCAAAAAATTTCTGTCTAAATATTGTTCGGGGTAGCCCCCTCTATGGGTGGCCGTCAGTTTTGGGGGCTTCGGCGATCTCCCTAGCTCTTACGACGAACAACGCTTGCATCTTGAGATCGGGGAATTGAGGGGCGTAGCTTTTCACTGCTGTGGCAATAGGCTGTGTTCTTTTATTTCTTTTTTGGTGAAAAAAGGGTTGAACAAAAGCTACCCAGGGCTACATTTACCGTAACCGTGTCCTTCATGATGATAACACGATCACGTATTACAGGCTAGCAATATATAAATTGATGTTAAAAAATATAGCTTGCATACTGTTGCACCTATGTATGATAATTAGATGTATCTATCTGGTCTTTTCTAAGCGAACATGTTCAGATGTCGATTTACTTGCCACCTTCCTCCACTCACAGTTTATCAGCCAAGAAAGCCACACGGGTTCTCATACAATTCTTGAAGGCAACATCGCTGAGTGACCGCCTGGGAAACCCTGCATTGTGTGTGTGGTGTTCAGTGCCAATCTCCTCATCTTCCTCCTCCTCATCTTTTTTCTCTTCCTCCCCTTCTCTCTCTTACTCCTTTGTTCCACTCTCCCCAAGTGTAGAGTAGCTGAAGTGCAATTAGTCTATTCAACCTCCCTACTATTCCTATATTCAATCTCCCTTCTCTCCCCTCCGCCCCCTCCGCGTGTTCATGTGGCCGCTCCCACCGCAGGTTAAAAGGGCCAACCAGATCATCCTGAGCAGCGGACTGAACGTTTACAACCTGTACGACCCTTGCAACTACGACCAAGGAAGTTGGTCGCTGGCTCCGCGCTATTCCGACTCCACGATGCAGCATGCCTTCAGACGACTCGTGAAGAAACTCTTCAAATGGCCGACCACGGTGAGAGCCTAGGGACCAGTACGCATGTATAGATGCGTTGACTATTGGGTTACGAGGGTTACAGTTCGCACTTGTTGGTATAGTAGGAGAATTTATGGTAGCGCCGGGTTAATACAAGGGTGAAAGAAAGGCACATTCGACGCAACACAGTGCTGTGTTTGGTCGGGCGAGTATTTCTTTTGTCCTTGACATTAGCCTGAAGGACCGTCTGTTAATCATGTTGTTGGGCTAGTTGCTGAAATGTGTTTTGGTTTTGCAGAGCGGAAAGTGTATTTGCGTTAAGTGGGGGAAAAATCTACGCCATATCCACAAAGTGAATGATGTTAGAGTAGCTTGCTCGGAGGTGCACAGGGCGTTTCTTGACGAGACCATTTCTGTAAGAAGGCTTGTTAATGAGTGGGTGCTTGATGTGTGCGTCAAAGGCAGCGTTGTTGGGCACGTTCCGCGGCCGGCAGTCCACAGTGTCCACCTCGTCGATCGGCGCGTTAACCACCTGCCCCTTTACGCCACACTAGCCGCTGCCGGGAGTCAAATGCCGAACGCGCATAAGTGACACACGTGGAGCTATCGGGCGTTCTTCAACGTGGTCGAGAGCAGGCAGGTGAGGGGGATTGGGAGGAAATCGGCAGCCGTACCCAACACTCACCGTAGAAACTTGTCACGTGCTGCCGTGCCTACGAAGCGACGAGAACGAAGTGGACGTGGTCGAAAGGAGGCGAGTGCGCGGGCCATCTAAAACCGATGCCTGTAGAGTGCCTCGATGCGCTAGTCCGCCTCCGAGGCGTGCGCATCGAGACACTTTAATGCCTTCTACAGATACTGTATATGCTACCTTTAGGGGAGCATATGCAAACACGCCTTGGGTGGCGGCACGCCATCTAGTGAGCATTGTTGAAATCAACGGAGGGGCGCGGCGACCGGAAAAGTGTACACACTGGCAACACTTGTGTACTGGCCGGCTGCCACCACCGAACAAGCCGCGAGCAATAGGAGCTTGCCGACCAAGCTCCTACAAACCTTTCATTCAAGTAGCCACAACATCAGCATCACGTCTAAAAGAAGTTTGAGTTCGGTGACTCGTAGGCTATCAGCACGTTAAGAAGGGGAACGCTCGCAGCTGCTGTTCATCCACGTGTTATAAAAATCTCACAAGGATGCTTAGTGATGAGTGAAAAATTCACAGTAGCGAGGAGTTCTTTAATCATACCAAAACTGTCGATCGTGCTCAGAACATCAACGTCACCAAGCCGAAGTGCATCGACCAGGACCGCTTGCAGCTGTACTTCAACCGACGTGACGTGATCGAAGCACTGCACGTGCAGGAGTCTCCGCTGCAGTGGTATCCTTGCAAGTGAGTGTAACAAGAATCCTCAGGGTCGTTAAGGCTAATTAAATCAAGCTGATTTATGAACACGAGCTGGGCATATAAGAAACCCTGAACCTTAGTTTGTACCGCGTTTTCGCACCGAATGTAGGTTGCAATTCATGCAAAACAATTTGCTGATAAATCCTAAATACATGTTCACACTGCTAAATTATCTCGCAAGGAAATTGAAGACGTATCTTGCTAACGTCTAAACATCTGCATGGTATATTCATCTATAACGATGTTTATAGAATTATCATGTTTTGTTTTCATTGCTTCGCTATTTGTACAAGAATGTCTGCCATTGAATCTTAAACGTCCTGTTGTAAATCATGCATCTGGGTATCAAATTTATGCTTTTTTTTCAATTTTGTACTGAAATGCTTGCTGTTCTCGTGCTGTCATGTACAACGCCTCCTGGGGCCAGTCAAGCCAGCTTTAAGCCCAGGAGGACGCTTTTTACTTTGTACTAGAGAAAATTATTAAGTTGGAGTTGAAGGTAAATAATGGTAGTTTCTGGAGGTTTGCACGGATGTGGTCACGAGACACTCTGTATGCATGTAAAGGGCTCCGGAAACTTTGACAATGCGGTGAGCTTTTTAACACACACTGACGTTGCATGGTACGGGGACCTACGATATTTTGTTTGCACCGAAATGCGACCTCCGCAGCCGGGCCGAGGCCTCTGTCAGGCACCCCAGCCCTTTGCCCCGGCTTCCTTCTTTGTATGAAAGTAAATAAAACTTCAAAGAAAACAGCTTGAAACCTTGTGAAACCTTTGAACTGGTGATGCCACACGCTACTATGTTGCACATTGAGGGCGACTGTACTGTGCGATGTCAGTGCACCTCAAGAGAACACCAGATGGTCAAAGTTTCCGGAGCCTTGCACCTTGGTGTTCCTCGTAATGAGATCGTAGATTTGGCATGTAAAAGTCTAACAAACATAATATTCTTTCACTTACATAGGCGTTATGACCCCTAGTTAAGCGTTAAGACCCCTAGTTGGCGTTCTGGGAACGCCAACTAGGGGTCTTAACGCTTAACTAGGGGTTATAACGCCAATTAGGGATCTTAAGCGAAAGGGTCTTGCAAAAGATTAAGTTGGAAGCGCGGGGTGCAAGTCATATTATAATGGATTCCAGCATGGCCATCAATTACACAGAGCAGCACACCACCATGCGCGAGGTCGTCCAAGACCTGGCCACGTCTGGTCAACTGAGGGCTCTCATCTACAACGGGGACGTCGACATGGCCTGTAACTTCCTGGGCGATGATTGGTTCGTCCACAGCTTGGGATACGAGGTAATTGGGTATAATGAAATTATGGACCATCTGCCCGAAGAGAACCGTTATTTAAGGTTAAGCAGCAGCAGTGCGCACGGCGTTAACCCGATTGAAACGGGCGTCGACGCGGGTGTTGGAAGAACGGTTCGAAGCGATACTCGGTGTAGCGTTTACTCGAGTGAACGTTTGTTTGAAACGCAAAGACACGAGAGGCGTGTTGAGTTTCCTGCAAGTTTCATCACAGAAAGACTCTTCGCTCGATGGGCGCTCGATCGTTGCGAGAGGTGGAAAGGGTGAAACGAGAGAGACGACACGCGGCCAGCGGCGACAGGCTAAGGAGAGAGCGACGTCAACGCGCGCGCACTGCGAGGGAAACCGTGACCTACTTGGCACCGCCACAACACCTGCGGCCAGGGGAGGGTAATGCGGATGGAGGGACAGTGTTACACATGCTAGTGAAAGAGCTGCTTCACATCTAAATATTGGACACGTGCCCACGTGTGGTTTAAATCGTTATCGAAGATTGAGATTATTGCGAAGATGTTCAGTGCTTGTACCAAGGCAAGACATGTGCAGGCAAGATATAGAATGGCAACAACTCCGACTGAACCACCCACTCGTGGCGACTCTGTTGGGTTTGTCGCCACTCTAAATCGCCTGCGTGCCCCGAAACATGTTCCAGGGCATGCATACGCGTTCATAAGGCGGACACCTTCGTTACATTCTTGCGGTTTGACGAGTGTGTCTATCACCACGTTCGCACGCGACCTTGCGATTGACTAACGTGGACGCCTCCTATCAGAGGCGTGCTGCAAGAGTGCGAGACCGCGGAGAGTCGTCGAGGAAATGAAAAGACAACAGCAAGACAAAGAAAAAGAAAAAAATTGTGACGAGGGTAGGAGAGCCTGACCCTACGTGAATAAACCAGGCTAATACGAGGCACGCCTCCCTTGTGGTTTTTTAGCGGACTGGCTGTGTGCTCCTTTACTGCCTTTCTCAGCCAATCAGAAAAGAGACTTAGGAGTGCGTCGATTTTACAGTTGGCATCTCAACTCAATATGCTACACAATTAAATGGAAAGATCGTTGCCCGCAAACCGTGCGGGAGAAAGGACAGCTGCGGGGCTATGTTCAACTTTTGTTGGCGCTTTTGTGCCACCATAAACTGTAAAATTTTAACAGCGGACACACAGAGAAAGAGATGATCTATATTGGAAGAACAGATATTTTTGCGTCGTCTATGTATCACTACTCTGTATACAGACGGGGAAAGGGAACAAAAAATTTAGAAAAGAGGGAAGTAAAGATTGAAAAAAATCAATAAATATGAAATGTGTAAATGAGTCTGATCAATCGATCTGCAATTAGGGTTTCTGGTAAGTCAAGACTTTGCTATGTGTGGTGTTCAATCATTAGAGCCTTCCAACGAGGCCAATTTAAGCCAGGTAATTGACAAATTACTGTACAACCCGATGCTGTCTTGAAAGCCGGCGCAGTGGACCTAATATGGTGCGCAACGCCAAATGGTCGTGGCAAATCATGTCAATTTTTCGTACAAACAAACGTCTCTCATCTCGGTACGTGGGGCACTCGAGCAGTATGTGCCCCGCTATCTCTACGTTGCCCCAGTTTATTCATTTATTTATTTATTTATTTATTTATTTATTTAATTAATTATTTATTTTTTTATTTACACATACTGCAGACTACCATGTGCTAAGCGAGAAGTGACGATAACATCCTATGTCAAGCGCAAAGAATCAGTCATTGACAAAGCGTGAAGAAAATAAACAAAACAAGCAAATCATTCTAACGTTCCCTTACTGCAGGAAAGTAGCTATATTTGTGCAAATCAGTTCTAGATTTAAGAGGCAAAAGATTAAGATTATGCGAGCTACGAGTACATGAACGTTGAGCAAACTGAAAGTACTGAATTAAGTGGGCAAGCTTTCGTTGTGGTGATGTGTTGCCAGAGTGGTCAGACCGAGATTAGAGAGTTTGGAAGAGGGTGAGAAGTGCATATCGTAACGACGGCATAGAGGAAACGAACAGCTTATCACAACAGAAACTTGTGGTACGTCCTATGCGGTAGATATAACTATGCCACGTTAAGTCGGGGCCGCGAAAACCTTGTTGCCCGCTGAGAACCGTAGGCGATTATGCGCCACTAAGTGCAGTGTTTCGTTGTGGGCAAGCTCCACTATCGAATGCAGCAAATACGAGCGTTAAGCGAAGAGTCTGCTCGGCTGATTGGAGCATGTCAAAGTGAGGAAGAGAAAAGAATGACTGAAGGAAAGAAAAAAGAAAGAGGCAAATAAAGAGAGAGAGAAGACAACTGAAACAAAGAGAAATATAGAGAGGCAGAAAAACATTGTAAAAGAGACAGAGATGCGCTGTGTCTGGCGATCTTCCTTTTGTACTTCAATTTTCGTGGAACTCATTAAAGATGAATTAACAGCTCGCCCACTAGTTCCATGCTTCACAGGGATGAAGGAAGGAACAGATAGAATAAGAGATAGAAGTAGCAAGAATGAGGGAAATAAAGAGAAAGAGATAGAAATAGTGAGCTAAGAGAAAAAAAGAACAAAGTAGGAAGAAATAGAAAGTAACTGGTACAAAAGATATATACAAAAACGGGATATGAAAATAAAAAACAAGCAAGGGAGAAAAAAACCAGGCCACAAATCTTCGTTCTTCGTTCAGGATCGGCACCATTGGCGCGGAGATGCCATGTTTGCATTTATAGGAATATTTATGCTGTTTATACGCTTACTGCGTTGTGCGTTTAAACGTGGCTCACCTGTCTAGTTTTGGTACCCTAAACATTCATTTGCGTGCCTATTTTTGGCCCCTAATGTGCATTTTTAATGACTAACATCCGTCCTCTAGTCATTGGAGATATAGACGAAGTTTTAAAACATGGTACCTATAACTATATCCGCACAGAGATTTGTCGTTGCTTTTTGTTATCATTGCATTTGGCAGTTTCTGTCACTAAAATTAAGAGAGAAGCGCGTCGCATATGAAAGACTAAAGGCCTCACCACACGCGCGCGTTGCGGCGCGTCAGGGCGTAGTCTGACGCGGCGCCGCGCCCTCTTCCTATGCAGAGGGAGGGCGCGAGGCAACGCGAAGCTGTGCTCCCCTCTCCCTCTATAAGAAAAGGATGTGGCGCTGCGTCAGAAGACGAGAGCAGACGCGCTGCGACGCGTACCTGTGGTCAGGCCTCGAGTTCATTTGAGGTCATTTACATGAGCTTGTGCAGTAATTATTTTCCTTCTCTCCACGGGAAGCCAACGTCGGAGTACCGAATGTGGCACGTGGACGGGGTGATCTCTGGGTTCGTCCAGAACTTCGAGCACAACATCACTTTCGTCACTGTTAAGGTGAGTCCCCATTTGATCAGGGTTGCACATTCTCTGTCAGCGTGAGTGCCCATCTGCGTGCGCATGTGTGCTCATGAGAACACATGCTGCTGCTGATAATGGTGATAGCCTATATGTAGACACGCACCCACTCTGGGTGCAAACCATACTCGCATTCTTTCTCAATCTCTGCCATTCACTCTGCATTGACCTCTAATACTATGTTCTTTATACACAGGGCTCCGGCCATATGGTTCCCTTGGACAAGGCAGCGGAGTCTCTCCATATGATCACCAATTTCCTGTCTGGCACACCGTTTCTATGAGGAACAACGCCAAAACTAGGACCACTGAAGGAAGAAGAAGCAATGGTTTAACGGAAGCTGGCGCATTGAATAAAAATGTTGACGATGCTTTTCCTTATAAGGGAAACGGGGGCTAATGCGGCTTGGTGCACGAGTCTGCCTCTGTCTGTCTGTCTGTCTGTCTGTCTGTCTGTCTGTCTGTCTGTCTGTCTGTCTGTCTATATTCTTTCTTCTTTCTTTCTTTCTTTCTTTCTTTCTTTCTTTCTTTCTTTCTTTCTTTCTTTCTTTCTTTCTTTCTTTCTTTCTTTCTTTCTTTCTGACTGCTTAGTGCATAACCGTTTTGTTCTCGCGCGTAAGCGTTCAGCTTGACGTAAGCGTTCAGTTAGCGCTCATTTTCAGTAAGGAATCGGCATGGCGTCTGTCATACTCCATCCTGCAGCATTCATTAGCCTTTAGAATGGCCACATCGCAAATGACTATGACGCGATAATGAAAGCGCCCACTTAATAAATTCGATTTTTCTCGAAGTTTCAATTTTACTGAAGTGTGCCATTCCCGGTGTCGACCTGACGCTTCGTCGAGCAGGTCACTTTTAGCTCACCAACACTAACTATTTCAATCAAGCTCCCATAGCTAGTGTACAGCTTCCCATTATGTTCTCGGATCGTCGGTAGAACGCAGCTGTATGCTTCGGTTCAGTTAATATGGGGAAAGTATGGATTTGTGGCCCACAGGGTCAAGACACTCGCTGTCATTTCCACCCCGGGCTTCAACGCTAGCCCCGGAAAGAAAAATTGTTCACTTGGGTTAATCATTTCATTGGTGTGCGCCAGCTGCGGATGAGGATCGTTTTTGCAACACCCCCAATTCCACAAGACAGCTGTTACAGGTGGCGCTTGAAAACCAGCGCGTGCCTTTTGTACCCACTATACAGCAGAAAAGTGTTCCATAGGTATTGAATTTGACTTCTAACCTGTCACAGAGATAGAAAAATGTCCAAACTGGTTTTCAGGCTGCCAAACTGCTGCTTGCTCAGAAATAATTCGTCCTCGTCTTTATTGTAAGGCCCGATTGTAAGATTTACCTTAGCACAAATATTTGTTGTTGAATTCATATTGATATTCCAAATTGATGTGAGCATGGCATTAGAAGAAATGTGCCCGAGAATCTACAAATTGAAATAGTTGCTCGCTCTTTTCACAATTACTTTCAGTGTGTTCTAGAACTTACCGTAGACGGCTAAATCGACACCGCTAAGTGGACGGTGGCCATCTTAAGTCCCTTTCCAATTCTGACGTATCCGGCAAAATATACAGCTTCAAGAAGACGGCATCGTGTATAAAACTGATGCAGGCCCCTTTGCTATCGAAACAAGATAGCTGCTGAGCGAATTGCTCGGATAGCTACATCTGCACACAAGCAGACACTTCTCCAGACGCTAAATATGAGTAACGTTCAATTTTTTTCTTAGATTTAAACACAAAATAAGCTAAAAGTATATCAGTTTCTTTTGTTTATCTCAGCTTTCTTTTCTCGACGTGAGGTGGCGTCTTGTCACGTATACGCCATCTAGACACGTTCCATTTCTCGGACAACATGGGCTTGATGCTGTCTTCTAAGCTGTCAGCGTAGACTGTCTACGATGCTGTTTAAAATTGCAGCACAGCCTTTCTCTATGGCGGCAGGCTTATTAAGATGGCGGGGCTATAGACAAATCAAGGAAGTTTAAATAAACCTCCTTGGGATGTCTCTAGGATGCCCCAAGGAGGTTTAAATCCAGTAACGTGCACTGCTCATGAGAGTGAGTCGAGTCTGGCCGCTATTTTAGGGAGTGGAATAGAAAAAAAAGTGGGCAACGATTTTGAGTACAGGGTAGCGAAGCTCCTATAGCGGTACCCGTTCGTCCCTCGAATCCTCGTAGCCGTTGTAGTATTGTGTAACAAGTATAACATTTTGACCTCCAAGGTGGCACTGGTGAGAGATTTTTTCTGTGCGTTGTTGAACAATGAAAGATAAAGCTTAATATACATGCCAATGGCTGCTAAGGGGAAATGAGAGACAGGAAAATTCGGCTTTTATTTAACGCGCACGCTGCGAATTTTTTATTGTTCAACAGCGCACAGAAGACAAGGAAGGGTTGCTACGTTATACTCGCTAGGCGTAACCTCTTAGGTTTTAGAAAGGTTTAGCGAGCGTTGGGCCGCAGTGCCATGAATACAGTGAACTGGTATATATCATGAACTCGAGGTGGGTAAAGGTAGGAAGTAGATACGAAGTGCAAGCCGTAAGAAAGTGTGCATGTGCCTTTTCTCGTTCAGTCCTTGGAATGTCCGCTGGATGGCGGTGCTTCTATATGAGAAATATATGATGAAAAGATGCGAGATGGTGGTACTTGGAGTGTTGAATAGGTGGACGAACGGACACACAGACAGATGCATGGACGGACACATGGATGGCTGCACGGACGGACGGACGCATGGACGGATGCAGGAGCGGATGCATGGACGATCGCAGGGACGGACGCACGAACAGACGCACGCACGGACGGGTGGATGGACGCACGGGCGGCCACGCAGACGCACGCATGGATGGACGGAAGCAAGAACGAATGAACGGACGGGTGCTTCGCCCCACTATCCGTCATTCACTCCGTGGATATGCTGCCATTTTTTTATTTCGAAATTCCTTAACTAGCGTTCTTGTTCGCAGTGACCGATTCGGCGGCAGACGCCGCAAAAGTAGGTCCGATTGCGATCGGCGCGAAGGTGGTTCTTTCGGCGGATCGCGCCGCTGCCGAATCGGATTCAGCGCCCTTTCAGCGGCCGGAATGCTCAGTGTGAACGATCCAGTAAAGAGGCGGCAGTGTTCCGAAAAACCGACGCGTCATGTTTGCGGCCCCTTCTTTCTAGACGCTGTATACATCGCCGTACTCGCACACTTCCTGGAGAACCTTATAGCGCGTTTAGTTTTGATCAGTGATTCGCCACGTTAATCAGGGCAAAAGAGAAAGCCGCGCTAGAATTATGCTTAAGGCCTACGGCAGAGACAAGGAAGCGTTGTTCGTAGACGCAGCGGAGTACCCTAGTCACAAATGCTACGTTGCGGCAGTAATAAACACCGACCGCAAATGCGTAAACGCGTGCTCTATACGCTCGGATAATTCAGAAATCTCGGAAGAGGTGGCTATTGCACAGGCCATAATTTCCCCAAAGTGTAGGTATGTCATCAGCGACTCGCAGTCAGCAATCCGTAACTGTGCACGAGCAAGAATATCTCCCGAGGCAGCCAATATACTCCTCCGCAAGGCAAATCTCATATCATCCGAGGAATTCGAAGAAAGGTATATTATATGGTTCCCAGCACACACCCCGTGTTCGTCCCCCATTCCCAACCTCAACGAGGAGGCTCACCGCGTAGCGCGAGGTCTCACTTACCGCACTCGCAATGGAGCTTCACATGAGGTACTGGGAGGAGATGAGTGGTGGGAGAGGGACAGAATGTTTAGGTTCTGCGACATTATCCAATGCTACCAAAAGTCGAGGCGCAGATTTCCACCACCTTGCACCACATTAGACAGATCTCAGGAGGTTGACTGGAGGCGACTTCAAACTAGAACATTTCCCAATCCGAAGCTCCTAAATCGCATCTACCCCGAACTATACCCAGATGACTCGTGTAAACTATGTAGCATGAGACGCGCCTCCCTAGAACATATGTTATGGGAATGCACACAGATACAGGACGCCAATGCAGTCTCCCCGGAACAGCTTGGGGCGCGGTGGAGAGCCACGCTGATCAGCTCAGATCTGACAGATCAAATATGGGCCATCCAGCAAGCACGGGAGGCGGCTGAGAGACAGGGTCTTTCCACCGCCCCTGGTGCGGCTTAGGCCCACGCCTCAGTCCGCTGGTTAAATAAAGTTTTGCTCACTCACTCACTCAATTCGCCACGGTGGTCTAGGGCACTCAGCTGCTGACCCACAAGTCGCGGGACTAAATGCCTGCCGCGGCGGCCATATTTTGTATGGAGGCCAAAATTCTTGAGGCCCATGTGCTTAGATTTGGGTGCACATTAAAGAACCCCAGGTGTTCGAAATTTCCGGAACCCTACACTACGGCGTTTCTCACACTCATATGGTGGTCTTGGGGCGTGAAACCCCCACAATTATTATTATTAATTTTTCACTGGCACTACTGTCTAGTATCCGTCTGTGCAGGCAAATTCGCAATTTGCTGCCAACGAACACGGTCGGAGCCCGAAATGTATTGAGAAGTGCTTGTGTTTCGACTTGTTGGACCGTCTTACATGAACAAGCAGCGCTGCACAGTAGTGAATATTCGAAGAGCGAACAGCGAAGGAACATCACGCACTATGTTTATTCCATGCTTTCTTATCAATTAGGGCAAGAGAGTAACAGGGTATACAGTCCACTGCATGCGCACGCCCATCAGCACTCGCAAAGGCGTGACTGCGATAAGAGTACCACGATGCCAAGATAACATTACCAATAGGCTGGGCCCGGCCCGTTGCGTAATCGCCGTGAAAAAGGGAGGTGGTTGCAATGTTGCAACGTGTTCCATATCACCAACGACTGGATCTTTTTCCTCGCCCGTAGATGACGCGAAAAGAGGCTGTGGTTGCTCTCTCTCCCACTTGAACCTGCTTCACTAAACCGCAGGAGCGCGCTAGCCATGCACTCCCGCGTTTTTTTTTTTCACAAAATATGACAATGGTGGCATCAGTCACGTCGTGTCCGCACAAGTTCCAGCCTGCAGTGTGGCCTAAATGCGTACGTGTTTCGTGAGAATTGTCCCCCTACGCATATTTTTACGTGGAAGAACAACCAAGCTCCTACTGACCTGCCGCACTGTTGGAATCTCTCTCTGAACCCATGTGTGTAGCCAGAGATGCGGCGTGCCTTTCAGCTAAGTGACCCACTGCATACACCTGGTAAGCTGAAAGTTTTTCGCTTTCATGCTTGGCGTCCTTCGTGTTTTCTTCTCGAAATTCTCCTTCTACGCACTGCTAAAAACTCGTACCAACCCACCTGTTCTAAATTGTCGGTTGTCCGGTTGACCGCAAGTTCCTCGGTGGACCACAAAAGTCCCTGCGGAGCACGGGCACCACGACAAGCTT